GCACCAGGTACAATGATATGGTATACGGATGGCTCCAAAACAAACGAAGGAAGCGGATCAGGCGTTTTCTGTACAAGCCCAAAATATGAGCAATCAAACTCATTATGGAAGTATACTTCGGTCTTTCAAGCAGGAATACATGCCATCAACGCTTGTATCCTGGAAAATCTTAAAAGAGGTTACACTGACAAAAAAATCCTCATAAGATCAGACAGTCAAGCAGCTATTAAAGCATTGGCATGTAAAAGAATTACATCAAAACTAGTCAGTGAATGTATCCAAAATCTCCAAAACCTGGGAAAACACAACAACCTGATGATATCTTGGGTGCCAGGGCACAGGGGAATTCTGGGTAACGAAGAAGCGGACAAACTGGCCAGAACAGGATCTGCAAGCCCCGAACCTATCCTTGGGATCCATCCCAAACATAGAATCCTCCATCGCAGAATGGATCCAAACAAAACAAAGAGAGAGGTGCTAGACATAGTAAACTTATGCTGAAACAACCCTCACCAAAATTGGCAAAAACACTGCTGCAATTGGAGAGGGCAAAACTCAGAGGAGTGGTGGGACTACTAACCGGTCACTGGTATCTGAGAAAACATCTACACAACATGGGTATATACAGCGATGACCCAATTTGCAGATTATGTAATGAGGAGGAGGAAACAGCCACTCATATCATCTTCGAATGCGAAGCAACAGCTCAATTGAGGTTTAACCTAACGTACGAAAAAGACTCAGGGAACCAAATTGCAGCAATAACAGTCAATGACCTGATACTTCTGAGAAGAAGGATTGAGTCTATTGACTAAACTAGGGAACTGGGAAGGTACAATAAGCCAGAAGGCTGCAGTGCCTGGCGAATACAAGCCCCGCTTCCCGGCATCCCTTCCACCATACCATACCATACGATCCACTCGGAGACCAACTTCCCATCTTAACCCCGCCTTTTGAATTTTCCCTCCTTTTTGCCATTTTTCCAAAAATCAAAATTTCAAAATTCAAAAGGTGGGGTTGAGATGGGAGGTTAGTGGCCGAGTGGATCGAAGTCACGATAGCTCAAGTGGTAGAGCAGCAAATCTAGCCGAAGATCGTGGGTTCGAATCCCGCTAGTTCCATTGACTTTTATCTCAACTAAAAACCTTAATTAATAAAATCGAACGTTTTCTTCAAAATGGATCAAATTGGCTGGATAAAAAGGAATTTTTGTACACAATCCCTTTTAAATTTGGAAATTCAGAAAGACACAGACATTATAATTAGATGTACATGGAATGTGTTATGGAATTATGCCCTGATGTTGAAAAATCGTTGAGAAATCCGCCTGGCGCGGTATAGAAAGCCGACCGAGATGAAACGAATTGGCGCAAAGCGGAATTGGCATTTTATCAGAAAGGCCGCCGTGTAAGGTTCATTATCGCTTATGAATGAAGCAATAGCTCGTGTAGATGCTATCGCAGATAATAACTTTGCGAATAGGACTTGAATTAGATCCCCACCCGACTGTATTAACGCCCCCGGGTCGTAAGGATACCGGTTCGGATATGTGCAGTTGTTGCAACGAGGGTTGATATATATTGTAGTCGTGGAATAGTGAGCCCGACCACAACAGTTTCAACCCCCCCCCCCCCAATTCGTCGGTTCCAGTTCCACTTCCGCTATAATTATCTAATTGTCGAGCTTCCAAGTTAAATGAGGTTTCTAGAGGAGGAACTGCGGGCGATAAAGGAGAGTCCCGTGAACTTCGTACTTCACACGGCTCGGAAAGCCCCATGTTCCTCTGTGTTCGTTGTGAACTTTTCGTCAATTCCCTTCATCAAAATGAACAAGAAAAATTTGTGATTACAAAAAAGAATTTGTTATTTTTCCATACAAGGTTGGTCTTATAAGATGTGAGACCTCTTCAAAGCTGTTGATCTTTTCAGTTTGGAAACAAACAAGCAGACAAACAAGTATTTTGAGTACAAAAAGAAGAAAGAGTGGGATGAGAAAAGAAATGATTGGAAGAGAAAGAGAGTGAAGGTGGGAGGGAGAGAGAGAGTGAGAGAGAGAGAGGGTGAGAGGGAGAGAGAGGGAGGGAGAGCGGGAGGGAGAGAGTGAGGGNGGGAGGGAGTGAGAGAGTGGGAGGGAGATAGAGAGAAAGAGAGCGAGAGAGAGGGGTGGGAGGAAGGGAGTGAGCGAGAGAGGGTGGGAGGGAGAGAGTGAGAGATAGTGAGTGGGTGGGAGAGAGGGAGGGTGAGAGAGAGATAGTGAGAGAGAGAAAGAGTGAGAGAGAAAGAGAGCGACAGAGAGAGAGTGAGGGTGGGAGGGAGGGAGCGAGAGAGAGAGAGGGTAGTAGGGAGAGAGAGAGAGGGTGCGAGAGAGGGAGGCTGAGAGAGAGGGAGGGTGAGTGGGAGAGAGAAAGAGGATGCGAGAGAGGGAGGGAGAGAGAGAGAGAATGACATATGGAAGTGATATGGCGAGGAAGAGTCGCAAGTTTGCCTAATTTAGATAAACAACTACAAGGCAAGCAAAGCGGATCATTTAAAATTCAAATTATGTAATCGAGTCAAAGGTGTAAACGTAATTCCCGTAAAAGCCAACTAATTTTGTACATGGCTTTTCCTCCAGGATTTGTACACGGGGTGAAAGTACTAAACCTTAAACAGAACACGCCAAATTAATGTCCCCCTTTCCAAACACGTTCAACGATTTGCATACGTACAAAGTCAAGTCCGATATTTGCCAATTAAGCCACAAATCCGTCCGGAGAGGCTGGTCATTTTTCACTTGGTCTGGTTCAAGTCGGCTACGGCGAATCTGATTAGGCCGCCCACAATCTGAATGCTGCGGTAGGACATCGGTTGCAAATTTAGAACTACACGCTTATCATTTAGATAGCTTTTTAACAAATAAGCACGTGGGTGTCGGCAAAATGATTTGCAAGTTGCGATGTTCAGCGCATGCCTTTAGACTTAAAATTTTGGATTATTTATCATTTAACATGGCGGCGGATTTATGTACTTCAGTTTGTTAGCTATTCCTTCAAATGACTTCCGAAATGTGGGGTGTTTAGTGACAGTTAGTTAACGATTATTTGGAGATCGTGAGATGCCTCTGGTGTGACGTAGATTTACAAAAAACATTTTCTTTATTGTGCCAATGTTTCGGTCTTTATTGAGATCATCTTCAGAGCTCAAAGTGGTTTTCTGTATAAATGTGTCAACCAAAATTGGTCAACCACGACACAATAATGGCACATAGTCAAGAGCACGATCGGTTGATGGCCTTCAGAAACCATGAGCGGGAGATTAGGGATCGTCCTCCTGCGATTGAGGATTGGCCATACGCAGTTGACACCCAGGCATCTGTTTTTGGGCCAGAGCTCGCGCAGGTGCCCCTTATGCAGAGGTTGCTCGATGTGTCCCACATAATAGAGGCGTCTCTGCCTTGGTTCCATACAGAGAGCGTGTTGGCATGCCTCCGGATTTAAAATGGTTTTCGGGCACGGTAGCGAGTTCCAGGGTCCCCTGTTCCACTTTTTACCGAAATTGGGAATGTTTTATTGTATATAGCTGTCAAGATATGTGTTTTGTATAAGTGAGTGTATTTATTAGAGTGAATGGTGAAATAGCATCCCCATCGTTCCTCGAGCTGTGTACGTGACTTGGGTCGATGGCTGAATATTTATAAAAGTGCCCCATGGAATATTGAGTACTCTATTCACCAGATAGAATGAATGCAATGTATAAAGGTGTGAATGTATTTATTCGTGTGTGGTGATTAGTGACCGTTAACCGATAATTATTCAGAAATCGGGAGATGCGGTCTGGTGTGATGTAAGTTTCAGAAAAACATTTTCTTTATCTTGCCAACGTTTCGATCTTTATTGAGATCATCTTCAGGGTTGTCAGGGTATTTATTTGTGTGAAACGTATTGAACGTGTGTTGCAATATTTCGGATCCGCTTGGGGCTGAAATGACCAAGCTGTCGGATGCCCCTTCAAAAAAAAAAATAATAATAATGACATCTACCCAGAAAAAAAAACACTTGGAGACATGAAGATGATTTCAAGTTGACCTTCGGCTAGATACGCCGCAAAATGGCAAAAAGGAGGGAAAATTCAAAAGGTGGGGTTGAGATGGGAGGTTGGTGTCCGAGTGGATCGAGGTCACGTTAGCTCAAGTGGTAGAGCAGCGGCGTATCAAGCCGAAGATCGTGGGTTCGAATCCCGCTCATGCCATTGACTTTTTTATCTCAACTAAACATCTTAATTAATTGAAAGATCGAAACGTTTACACGATAAAGAAAACGTTTTTAATCATAACTTCCAAAAGTTCAATCCAAAATTTCTTGCTCGCAATTAGCGCAAATTTGCAGAGATTCGCAGTATTTTATTAATTAATAGGGCGATAATACACCGTGAAATATTTATTGGGAATAAAAAGGGAGATGTTGAGTATACCCCTCGAATATATTTAGAGACAGAGGAGATACAGAAATACCCTTTGTTTTGAAAGTTGTAATTCCCAGTCCGTCTAGCATTTGCAAATAAGTCGCAAGGATAAAATTTTGAGAAAATAGGTTTGATTAAAAATTCAAAAACAATATTTACATATGGACAATTCGAGGTGTACGAGAAAGATGAGCATTAAAATATAATGCAAATAAAAAGAAAAATGCATATAAAATATTGTTTTCGACGAAGCATTGGAGTAGTGTACATGCTATTTTTTCTACTGGGCCCGCCAAAAATCGTGAGGTGCGGATGTTTTTGAGCTTATTTATTTGGTGTTGGTCTGCTTTTTCACGAGGGAAAAGAAAAAAAGGTAGCACCTAAGGTTAGTGAGTGAAGTCAGCAGGGGATGGAGGACCTTATTAAATCAAAAAAGGTGAAATCTTTAATTCGTAATCATAGTGGATGTTATTTTTTTATAAATTATCTTTTGCTAATCTCTTTTTATTAATGTGAAATATAAAATGAAAAGAATATGGCAATTTTTTTTTCGTTATATCGAAACTGATAAAAATTCCCTGTACGTCGTGTATAAACAGATGTGTTTTAACAATTAATTTGATTTATTGTTGAAACATGTTACAAAACACAAACATGTCATCTTGACAAAAGAAACTTCGACCAATCAAAAAATGGAGGAGTCAACCGAAGGCAAACTGAACGACCAAATGATTTCCACATACATAAACAAGACGACGAGGAAATCCCTCGATACCACTGAAGATGTTCTGCACATGCGGATGATGGAGTTTCGTCTGCTTTGCAATAAAACGCAAATCATCCCGGAATTAAGCGGTACGTTGAGTTAAAACAGAACCCGTTGAGTTAAAGTTAAGAGATACGGAAATGTTTGGCCTAGAAATCAATAATAATGGTAGACAGTTACTTTTCCATGTCCTTTCGCAGGCATTCGGTCGACCAGCGGTACTTAAACATAATGTTCTTGTTCATGCCAAACCTGGTAAACTTATAACGTTACCGCTAGGTACTAAAATACCAAACTCGGCTTTATTATCGATATTATTTTTTTCCGCTTGTAATTTAAAAAACTGATGACGCCTGATTATTTTAATAAACTGAATAACCATTTAAAAATATAACTGTTCCAAAACTGAACGAACATATGTTGGATGTAATAAAATAATTTAAATTTTTAAATTTTATTAACCTGTCAAAACATTACAGTGACCCTTCGTCTGAAAGGCTAATAACCCTCCTGCCTATTTTATCCAAATTTTTGGAATGTTTCTTCCTTCAAAGAATAATTACCATATTCCACTCTTAAAACTTTCAAAAAGCCTCTATTCTGCTGCCCGCAGTCAATATTGTTCAGGCCTATATCTGGACTTCACGGTTTCATTCGTCCTATGGTGTCTTTTTCAAGTTAAAAAATTACTACTAAATACCGTACTGCTATCTCGTCCTAATTACTTCCTCTCGGAGACCGGTGGTTTAAATTAAGAATCGGTATCGATTTTTTGCGCTGCATGTTAATCACTACTGGCGTTCCGCAAAGAAGTATCTTAGGAACAACCTTTTACACAATCTTTCAATTAATTAAGGTTTTTAGTTGAGATAAAAAAGTCAATGTCACGAGGGGGATTCGAACCCACGATCTTCGGCTAGATACGCCGCTGCTCTACCACTTGGGCTATCGTGACCGCGATCCACTCGGACACTTACTTCCCATCTCAACCCCACGTCTTGAAGTTTCCCTCCTTTTTGCCATTTTTCAAATATCGTGTAATCTATTTGATTCTATTTGATTTGATTAAAGTTTTCATCTCAACTAAAATCCCTAATTAATTGAAAGATATTGACTGGACAAGCGGACCACGAAAACTAGTGAATTGAATAAGTTAAAATGAAGTATATCTTCACTAAAGCTCTCCGTGGCCATTTCAATTGTCGCCGAGGATCAAATAAATTACACGACATTTGAAAAATGACAAAAAGGAGGGAAAATTCAAAAGGTGGGGTTGAGATGGGAAGTTAGTGTCCGAGTGGATCGAAGTCACGGTAGCCCAAATGGTAGAGCAGCGGTGTATCAAGCCGAAGATCGTGGGTTCGAATCCCGCTCGTGACACTGACTTTTTATCTCAACTAAAAACCTTAATTAATTGAAAGATATTAATTGGTCAAACGGACCACGAAAACTAGTGAATTATTTAGACAGTTCAATCAAAGGGCCTGTTTTATACAATTCTGTGGCTTTATTAAAGGAGAGATGTTTCAAGTGTATTTAATTGTCATTCCTGCATGTATCCGTTATATCACCAAATATACATAGATTCTTATGAGCCGGGATTCATGACAATTTGTACAAATTGTAAATTATTGACTAGAAAATAAACTATACCTGTTTAGTTGGTCCTAGTTAAACAAAGTGATTATATGAATTGATTTATAATTTATATGTAAAATGTGTTGGGATGAAAAAGCCACTGATCATGGGCTAGAATCCTGCTTGTGACACTATTTTTTCATCTCAACACACTTTCCATAAAAATTATAAATCAGTATATAATAATCAATTTTATTACATTTCTATAATATATATTTTTTATTGGATAGCATATCCAACAAAAATTACTTTGTTGACGTCACTTACCCGTTAACAAACACGCTACTCTAAGACAAATAAGGTAGGACGTTAAATCGGCGCAAGCGCGCTTCAAACAAAGCTAATGTTATACAAAATCTCCCGATTAAGCTTATTAGCTCAAGTGGTAGAGCGGAGTATCTCGCCAAAGATCGTGGGTTCGAATCCCGCTCGTGACATTGACTTTTTTATCTCATCTAAAAACCTTAGTTAATTGAAAGATATTAATTGCTCAAGCGGACCAAGAAAACTAGTGAATTTTTACACAATGTACTCCGATGATCCATACCTTATAACAAAAATCACAACCCATGCGGATAACTTCACGACTCTACGGTAGCAAAAGAAGCTCTCTCTCTCTCTCTCTCACTCTCTCTCTCTCTCTCTCTCTCTTTATCTTTCTCTCTCTCTGTCTCTCTCCTCTCTCTCTCTTATATATATAAATTTTCCTTTTTTTTTTTTTTTTACCTATCTATTTATGTCTATCTATCAATCGATATCATCCATACATATATTTTTCTCTAGCTATCTGTTTCCCTGTATCTTTATCTCTTTCTACTGATTTCTTTTTCTTTCCAGTTACCTCTTTCTCTGTCTGTCTCTCATTCCCCAGTTCTTTCCCTTCATCTATTTTTCTTGATTCTCTCTTTTTCGCACCGACCGTCCTTAGATTATCTATCTTCTCTCTCTCTCTCGTTCTCTCTCTCTCTCTCTCTCTCTCTCTCTCTTTATCTCTCTCTCTATCTCTCTCCTCTCTCTCTTATACTTATATATATAAATTTTCCTTTTTTTTTTTTTTTTACCTATCTATTTATGTCTATCTATCAATCGATATCATCCATACATATATTTTTCTCTAGCTATCTGTTTCCCTGTATCTTTATCTCTTTCTACTGATTCCTTTTTCTTTCCAGTTACCTCTTTCTCTGTCTGTCTCTCATTCTCCAGTTCTTTCCCTTCATCTATTTTTCTTGATTCTCTATTTTTCGCATCGAACCGTCCTTAGATTATCTATCTTCTCTTTCTCTCTCTTTCTCTCTCTCTCTCTCTTTCTTTCTCTCTCTCTCTCACTCTCTCTCTCTCTTTCTCAATCTATCTATCTATCTCTCTTCTTCTTTTTCTGTTTTTTTTTACCTATCTATTTATGTCTATCTATCAGTCTACGTCATCCATACATATATTTTTCTCTAGCTATCTGTTTCCCCTTATCTTTATCTATTTCTACTGATTCCTTTTTCTTTCCAGTTACCTCTTTCTCTGTCTGTCTCTCATTCCCCAGTTCTTTCCCTTCATCTATTTTTCTTGATTCTCTCTTTTTCGCACCGAACCGTCCTTAGATTATCTATCTTCTCCCCCACCCTCTCTCTCTCTCTCTGCCTTCTCTCTCTCATTTTTACCTTTTATCTATGAAAAATGAAGTATTTCCATATGTGAAATATATTTTTAATCGTAAATTTGGTATGTGATGTGTTTAACGCGAATATCCCCTGCAGATCATTCTGTGCGGATCTTCTTGGCTGGTGGGGACAACGACGTCAACCAGGCTTTCGACGGTGTACTTGAATATTTCAACCAGAAAAAAGAAGCAAAACACATGTTCGATAACAGAGATCCTATGAGCCCAGACATTCAACAAGCATGGGAAGTCTTGTAAGTACGACCTTTAAACACACCGTAAAAAACAGAAGTTAATTTTTAAATCGTTCCCATTTGTTAGAAAGGTGTGTTTCTTACCAAAATTGACACCCCAAGGGTACAGGATTCTACTTTGCGGTCTCTGGGATCCGGATCCAGCCAAATTAGACGTCCTTGCTTGCATAAGAATGTTCCTAATGGCTATAGATGTCGGCCTGTTCTTGGAAAACGTTTATCAAGGGTACGTCTTGCTTTTGGACACTGAAGGTTTAACCATACGGCATTTTCCGTGGGGGTCGCTGACCGATTACCGGAGGTTTATGAGATTTCTTCAGGTAATGGAACAAATTTTATTAAGTGTGAAGCAAACCATAAATTTTTTGATAAAGCGTTACCTGAAATTATTCCAGTACGGAATGCCGGTGTTCGTCAGGCAAATACACATCCTTAGGAATAGTAAAATGATTGAAAGAGTCTACACCTGCCTAAAACCGTTTATGAAGAAAGAATTGTCTGAACTTGTGAGTTTCAAATTTAAATGTTCAAAAGTAGACAAAAACATGTGATTTATCCATAAAACAAATTTTTTACTTATTTATGTAAAAAGAATGTTTTATGAAATAAACAAATGTAAAATTGATTAAATAGCGAATCTTGAGGGTAAAATTTTTATTCCAGCTATTTTTTCACAGTGGAAACGACTTTACAAATTTTCTCAAGATGGTCCCACCGGATTGTCTCCCACAGGACCTAGGAGGTACAATCCCCTCAGTACGGCCAATACAAGGTGATTCAAGTAGGAAAAATAACGAATAGAACAATTCTCAATTCTTTTTATTTTTCAGACGAGCTGAAGAAAAAAGTAGAGGAGAAAATAGAAGAACTGTCAAAAGAGCTGGCACCCGTCGTTCCAAAATAAAAGCATTGTTACAAGTTTTAGAACAGTCGTGCATTTTCCTTAGCTGGTCTCTAACGATTTTTAACGTTAAAATTTACTTTGAAGTGTTAATAAAGGATGTTACCTATATCACATGTACGGCATCTTGGCTTTGAAACACCCACACGGCCACTGCACGCCAGTTAGTCACGCGTACAATTTTTTTACCACGACAAAACTTAGTATTTAATAGCAGGCCAGGCGTGATGGAGACTCGACCACATTACGCCTCGGGATTCAGCGGTGTATTAATAATACATAAGATTATTTTCCATGGGACAATTGAGCCATAGCCCTGCGGCAACTGGAGGATGAAGACTTCAGCATAAGTCACGGTCTGGTAACATAATGTAAATCCGCCTGTCAATAATCTCAGGCACGAAACCTATCAAGACTGATGATAGGGGAAGACGGACGTACAACGCCGTAAAAACATCACTATTGTAGAAACAGATGCGAAAAAACGTAAATGACTTTTAAATTGTAAAATTATACGTTTCATGTTCTAACCTTAACACCCATAAAACGTCAAAATTTTTAAAATTTAACTTTTAAAAAACAGGATATGGTGTTTTAAAAACCGCACTTTCAAGTTTTTACGTTCAATAAAAATATTGATGTAATTATCAATGTATTTATTAACCTGCCGACATGCCGGTATAACTGAATGTTATCTTCATTTTTCCTTGAAACAGTGATATTTCGCCCTGAGGTTTTATCAGTTGCAGTGAACATGACGTAATCAGGTGCAGTTTTATCTTTGAGCTATGTACAACTCCAAACTGGACTGTTTGTACTTCACTCGTGATTAATTATATAATATTGACGAAAGTGTTATTTTAAGCGGGATGCTACTTTTAAATAAGTGGTATCATCAGGACCCAGTGTCCTACGTGTCCTCCAGAAACAAAAGTTCGGAGCCTATCAAAATATATATCCAACTTTTTCTTAGGTTTCGGGGTCCGATTGACCAAAAAAATTCTTTTCAATTAATTAAGGTTTTGGTTGAGATAAAAGAGTCATTGTCACAAGCGGGATTAGAACCCACGACCTTCGGCTAAATACGCCGGTGCTCTACCACTTGAGCTAGCGTGACTTCGATCCACTCGAACACTAACTTCCCATCTCAACCCCACCTTTTGAATTTTCTCTCCTTTTTGCCATTTTTAAAATTCGTTTAATCTATTTGATTCTCGGCGACAAATGAGATGACCACGGAGAGCTTTAGTGAAGTATACTTCATTTTTGCTTATTACATTTATTAGGTTTCGTGCTCCGTTTGACCAAATAAATTCTTTTCAATTAATTAACGTTTTGGTTAAGATAACAAATTCAAAAGGTGGGGTTGAGATGGGAAGTTAGTGTTCGAGTGGATCGAAGTCACGCTAGCTCAAGTGGTAGAGCACCGGCGTATTTAGCCGAAGGTCGTGGGTTCTAATCCCGCTTGTGACAATGACTTTTTTATCTCAACCAAAACCTTAATTAATTAAAAAGAATTTTTTTTTAGAAGATTTTTTTAAAAGAATTTTAGCCGAACGTCGTGAGTTCGAATCCCGCTCGTGACACTTTTTTTAATCTCAACCAATACCTTAAATACAGATTAATTAATTGAAAGATATTATTTGGTCAAGCGGAACACGAAAACTAGTGAATTTAATAAGTTAAATGAATTATCTTCAATAAAGCTCTCCGTGGCCATTTCATTTGTCGCCGAGAATCGAATTCTGGCTACACGACATTTTCCCTTTTTTTGCCATTTTTGGAGCTGTTAGTGAAGTTATACTTCGTTTTACTTATTAAATTCCTTTTTTCATATTTGCTCAAGCGGACCACGAAACCAAATAAATGTAATGAGCAAAAATGAAGTATACTCCACTAAAGCTCTCCGTGGTCATCTCATTTGTCGCCGAAAATCAAACAGATTACACGACATTTTAAAAACGGCAACAAGGAGAGAAAATTCAAAAGGTGGGGTTGAGATGGGAAGTTAATGTTCGAGTGGATCTAAGTCACGCTAGCTCAAGTGGTAGAGCGACGGCGTATTTTGTCGAAGGTCGTGGGTTCGAATCCCGCTTGTGACACTGACTTTTTTATCTCAACCAAAATCTTATAACAACAAATTATATCCAGGCTCTCCCCTCCATGCTGGAGGCAGGAAATCGAGAACGGATAGTTCAGTCTAGCCTAGGCATTGGAAGAAAAACAATAAGAAAAAATCCAGCTGAAAGCCAGTCAAATCAGATTTGTATCCATTTGATTTTTATTAATATAAATTATTTCTGTTTTGTGGCCCATTTTCATTTATGGTTTTTTGTTTGGTATTTTCCATTTTGGTTATCAAGGTTGATTATTTTAATTTTGCCCTTCAGGCCCATATTATTCCCATAGTGTCTAATTATTCTTATATTGTTAATTTGTAAGCAAAAGTTCATGTTTTATTGTTTTATATTTTTTATATAACGTTTTTGATTCATAAGGAAAATACATTTTTGTTTTAAAAGAAACAAAATAGAGGTGTCCCTCTGCAATTGTGTTCTTATTTTATTTCAAATCAAAATTTGTTTGATTTTGAGGCAGATCACCGGCCTCAAGGGGGTCAATCACACCTTTAAAGAAGGAATATACTCATTCCTTAAAGGACTCACAATAATCTTAAATAATTGAAAAGTATATATCCAACGTTCCATCAGGAAAAAATCATTCACGTTGAATATTTATTAAAAGACAGTGCCTACAGGATAAAGTGCAAAAGGTTTTCCCTTGTGATTTGTTAATATTTATAAATAAATGCTCAAAAATGAATAGGGATATTACCAATTTTATAGTGTTTACTTTCCCTAGCATTTTTACTTCATTTTTTATCAAAAATGGCATTAAAACTTAATGGAAATTGTTTTCACTAAAAGAAAATATAATTAAGGATTTTGAAAACTTAGAAAGTAATAGGTTTCTATAATTTTGTGTCCAATAATTTTGTCCAACGACGTGAATAATGTCCTCGATTAGCTAAAACCTTTGTGCATCTGTAGATATCGTTCCAATTTTAGTATATGTACCGCCAAAGCTGTAGGTAAATTAACTAAAATAAGGTTGCCCCTAATTTAATAAGGGATTACACTCCATAGTTGTTGCAATGCTGCACTCAGTCATTGCAGCTCAACTGGCTGCGGATGGTGATCGAATAGCCTTCTCGTCAACGCATCCCACATGTGCCCAATGGAATTGGGTTCTGGAGACTGGGTGAAGGGGCAGATGGGAAATTTTCAGGTTTTCTAAACATTGATGAACAACTCTGTCTCTATGAGGTCTGGCATTGACGTCCAAAAATCGAAAATCCCTGCATATGAGATCCCTGGTTTGAGGGATGTATTCCTCGATAATTGCTTGGACATAACGGACTGCGGTGAGGTAGCCTTCAAAAATATGGAGTCCAGTTCATCCTCCAGTGTAAATCCCAGCCCGGACTATCACACCACCTTCTCCAAACTGCATTGCATGGAGCAAGAAATGGGGCTTTGTATGGGCTCTGTTCTCAATAAACTTTTCGGCGCCTGCTGTCACTATAAGAGAAACCCGACTCATCAGTAAATACAACAGCATTCCAAATGAGTGCCAAGCGCTCGCTGAGCTATAATCTCCTGAATTGCTGGTGGCGGGCTGTTGCTGCAGGTCGTCTCAAAGGAGCATACGATGTGAGGCCAACTTCCCACAAATCGTTTGTGTTGATAAAGGTCATCCCAAAACATCTTGAATTTCATTTAGGATCTGGCGGGCGCTATTGAAAGGGTTTGGTCTTGCAGCAATGACAATATTTCTGTCCTCCCTTAGAGTAATGCGCTGAGATCCATTTTTGGCAATTCCAGTCTGTCAGAACCACTCTCTGAGAAACGCCAACTATCTCTGCGATATCCACTTTCCTGTCACCTCGATGACTCATTCTCACAATAATATTGCGGTCTTCCGGATCGAGATAATGACTTTCCATGTTTAAAGAGAATGCAACTTGATTAAAATGGAGAAAAGACGAGAAAATGTGTTTGTTTACAAAGTGAGTAATCTTCCTGTTTACTATTCGTAAGTAAGTTCGTTATCAAAACTGAGGATTACCATTTGTTCCTTTTTGATTTGTATTTTCTATTTTGTTTTATACAACTAATACGAATATATAAATTACAATATATTGGGTAATTTAATAAAATTAATATAAAAAGAATAAATCACAAATATCTATATTCATTTTTAATTAGTTCATTATTTCGCATTAGCGGGGTACTAAAGCCCTTGTTCAAGATCTTTTATTTATTTTTGTATTTTTCTTTATATATTTTCTTTTAGATTTTTTATTTTTATTTTATTTTTATTTTTTTACGAGGGTTCGCAACAGCAGAGATTATATGAACCTGGGTGCAGATGTATTTGAAAAAAAAGCACATTTGTAAGTATGTCGGGTTCGAATGCAGGGCCGCTGGATTTGAACCCGGGACCTTTACCTTACAGTGATGAGCGCCGTGTCGACGCCTAAACCGTTGCGGCCACCGACGCCCTCTAGATTTTTTTTTTTTTTTTTACGTTGTTTATATTTTTGCTCTTAATTTTTCTTGCTTTTAATGAGGATCTACTGGGAAAGCGATAATATATATTTTAGTTCTCATTGGAAGTTTTTCGAGCTCAGTTTTCATGGTATTTTCATTTAAATTGTTCACCTTTTTCGGTTCTTGAGATTGGTCGTGTCAAACGAGTTTACCAAAAGGAAAACTACATTTTTAAAAGCTACCAATAATTAAATTCACTAATTTCGTGGTCCGCTTGACCAATTAATATATTACGATTAATTAAGGTTTTTAGTTGAGATAAAAAAGTCAATGGCACGAGCGGGATTCGAACCCACGATCTTCGGCTAGATACGCCGCTGCTCTACCACTTGCGCTATCGTGACTTCGATCCAATCGGACATTAACTTCCCATCTCAATCCCACCTTTTGAATTTTCCCTCCTTTTTGTCATTTTTCAAATGTCGTGTACCTACCAATAATGTGTGGTGATTAGTGACCGTTTGTTGATTATTCAAGTCATGAGTTCAAGCAAAGTTGCAAGACACAACTACAACTTGAAAAAAATATTTCTTTGCATTGTATAAATTCACTTTTTTCCACATCCTACATGTATTTGTTAAATTCAAAAAAATTTTGATACCTGCATTTTTCTAAATCGCAGGCCTTGAAGATGATCTCAATAAAGATCGAAACGTGGGCATGATAAAGAAAATGTTTTCCTGAAACCTACATCACACCAGAACGCATCTCGCGATCTCCAAATAATCATTAATAACGATATTTATTTAGAAATCGTGAGATGCGGTCTGGTGTGATGTAGGTTTCAAAAAACGTTTTCTTTATCGTGCCTACGTTTCGACCTTTATTGAGATCATCTTCAGAGCGTGGGATTTACAAACATTGTT